GTTTCCCGCCCCACGGCCCGACCAGAGGTTGGTGGCAGTTGAAGGCAGTTGGGACCGGCCCAAGCAGGTTGGAACCGGTCTGAGCCGGCCCGGAGGAGGAAGGGGGGAGGGAGAGGCCGCCTCGCGCTCTCCCTGCGCGCGTGACTCACGCTGGCCGCTGACGTCAGGCGTGCGCGCGCGGCGGGGGGGGGGGCTCTACGTACGTGTAGTGCTGCGGTTTCTCGGGCTGTGCCTGCAGCACCTGAGCGGTAGCGGCCGGGGGCGCCGAGGAAGCTGCGGAGCCGCCGGGCCCGGGGCCCTTCGACATGGTCCTGTCTTCCTGCCTCTTCGCCGCTCCCCTTTTATTATTCAGTCTGCGCGGTCCGCGCCGAGGACTCAGTGCGCCTGCGCCGCGCCACGAGAACGTGAAGACCCCCCGCATGGCGGCAAGGGTTGCTGGGAGTTGTGGTCCTCGGTTCGGATGGAATTTTACCGTCGGCCGAGGGTTGCTGCCAAAGGAACGGACCACAATACCCAGGGATCCTTGCAGACGGTGTCCCGGATGCGGAGGGCCCGCGGCTGCTTTTGGGAATTGCAGTCCGGCCGTGTTTCTCCCTAACGCGGTTCCAGTTTCGTAGGGGTACTTTTCCTTGAAACTGGAGCCCCTGCTGTAGATGGGGCCCAGAGCTAGGGAGGCCCTGGTGACTTCTGTGAAACAGTTCCAAGTGTAATTTTACTGCCAACAGTGTAGTAATTACCTCGGCTCCAGGCTTGGTATACCTTGGGCTCGGTTCAGAGGCCGGCCCCTCGCAGAGCTTAAGAAGCTTGTGTCCTCCGTTTGTGCTGCAGGCGCCTGGGCTGCGCCAACATCATTCCTGCGGCAGATCTGGGGACTAGGCACGCAGGGAAGTCTGCCTGCTGGACGTCAGCTTGAGAAAGCTTTGCTAAAGGGGAGCTAGCTACCCGGCACGATACTCTACTCCCATGTCTTTGCTGGGGCTCCGAAACTCCACGATTTGGTTCTCTTCTCCACTCGACACCTGGCCTGACCAACTTGTTTCCAGTACATTAGGGGCCAAGGACGAATTTAATCTCCGTCTAGAATAGTCTCAGGTGCACCGACAAGTTGCAGGAGTGTTGAGAAGCATTCGTGTCCAGAGGAAGGGCCTGGGTTTGAGTAGGAGGTGCCCTTTATAATCCACTCGAGTTTGCTGCTCTGAAGTCAGCTGTTATACTTGGGGAAATGTGACTCCCCTCCCTGCTTCCCGCCAGTGGGGCTAAGTTTTTCACTTTGTAAAATAAGCCAGTTTCCCCAGACCTAGGCATTTGATTCTGTGAGCTTTACAAAGTTCTTCATAGATATTTTAACTCTTTTGTTAACTAATGATCATCTCATTAAAGGAACACATTCAGAATAACCTTAGGAGTGAGGGAGTGTGGGGTGAATGGAATATTGTTTTAAAAAAATGACACCTACTTGCCCATTGTTGCTCAGTGGTTGAGCATTGACCTATGAATCGGAGTCAGGGGTTTGATTCCCGGTCAAGGCACATGCCTGGGTTTGCTGGCTCCATCTCCAGTGGGGGGGCTGCAGGAGGCAGCCAATCAGTGATTCTCATCACATGCTTCTATCTCTCTTCTCTCTGAAATCAATAAAAATACTAGTATGTATTTTAAAAAGAATGACACTCATTTTTATCTAGTTTTCCGTAACCTCATATCAGAAGCTAAATTGTCAGCCTACAATGTTAAGAAACTGATATTTCTTTTTTTAAATTGACTGTTCGAGAGAAAGGGTGAAAGAGAGAGAGAAACATCAATTTGTTTTTCCACTTATTTATGCATTCATTGGTTGCTGCTTCTATGTGCCCTGACCAGGGAAGGAAGGTACAACCTTTGCATATGGGGAGGACGCTCTAACCAAGTGAGCTAACGGGCCAGGGCAAAACTGGTATTTCTTAAATAGGCCAAATAGTTAACCACTAGGGGCGTTGGAAGATGAAAAAATACAAAAAGACAAAAGTTGTAGTGTATTGCTTTAATCCTATTATTAAACCCCAATAATTGGTTTATGTTATCCCCAAAACACTCCTGTGTGATTTGAATGAAGAAATGTAGTTCAACCCTGGCGGAATAGCTCACTTGGTTAAGAGCATCGTCCCAATAGGCCAAGGTTATGGGTTAAATCCCCCAAGAGGGCACATACAAAAAAATCAACCAATGAATGCATAAATAAGTGGAACATCAAATTGAAGTTTCCCTTCCCCTCTCTAAAAATCAACCAATTAAAAATACATAGTTCATAGTGTTAGATTTTAAATATATTTTTATTGATTTCAGAGAGGAAGGGAGAGACAGAAATATCAATGATGAGAGAGAACCACTGGGGACCGAGCCCACAACCTAGGCATGTGCCCTTGACTGGAATAGAACCCAGGACCCTTCAGTTCCCAGGCAGACGCTCTATCCACTGAGGCAAACCGGCTAGGGCCACAGTGCTGAGTTTTAAATGAGTGTACATCAGGAGCTTCAAAATAAGTGTGTAGTAGTAGAATCCGAAGATATCCAAACTGCTCAATTTACAAAACAGGAACCCAAAATTCAGAGAGGTTAAGTAACTTGCACGGAGTTACTCAGCAAGTCTGTGATAGAACAGGAACTAGAACAGTTGCCTACATAACATTTTGCATTGTTTTGATTGCAGTTCTTCATTTCCTTTGTAGCTTTTCCTCCCCTGAACCAATTTAGGAAAAAGACAATCTAATTTGTATGGCTGCCAAATAAGAGGAGCAAACTATTTTCACTAATTGTCCTTAAATAGATTAACGTAAATCCATTCCTGGTTTCTCCTGGAGCAGTTTTAGTTCCTCTCTAATAATTAGCAAGATTGAAAAAAAATTACTGTGTCTCCTCTAGGAGTCATGGGACAGACAGGGTTCTGGGTCTCCTATAAGAACATTGGAACACAAAGTGGGTGTTTCAAGGAGCCCATTCCTTCTCCAGGCCATTTGGGCAGTGAAAAAAAAAAAAAAAAAGATTGACGGGGAAATAAAAACAACAACACAAAAAAATACATTTAAAATCTAGCACTATGAACTATATATCTTAAATAATTTTATTGGTTGATTTGAGAGAGAGAGGAAGGGAGAGAAACATCAATTTTTCTAGTTATATTCCAAAGTATTTGACATTTCCTTCAAGATCTTAGCAATGCCCTGTTTCTCCACCGTACAGTTCTGAGAACAAGGCAAGAGCCTCTTGGTCTCTCTCCTCAGCACAGCATGAATGAAACAGAAAGCTTCCTAAACTGAGCAGAAGGCAAAAATTAAGGTTAATTTGCCCTGGTTGGTCTGGCTCAGTGGATAGAGCGTCAGCCTGCAGACTCAAGGGTCCCAGGTTTGATTCCGGTCAAGGGCATGTACCTTGGTTGCGGGCACATCCCCAGTAGGGGGTGTGCAGGAGGCAGCTGATGGATGTTTCTAACTCTCTATCCCTCTCCCTTCCTCTCTGTAAGAAATCAATAAAATATTTTTTAAAAATTAAAGTTAATTTATCACATAAAAGCTTAAATACATGATAATTAAATACACGTTTTGAATATTACAATGGAAAGGGCTGAAATAATGAGAGGGGTTCGGTGCCAGAGAGTGGGCCGAAGTCATTTTTGCCATAGCTACTTTTCCAAATTGTGCATTTTTTCCCTCGTTATTGATATACTGAGAGGGGACTTCTGGTGTCACAGTACATTTTTGAGGTATTTGTATTTATTTGTAATGATTCTCTGAGTTGAAATCTATATGTAACTGGTTTTGCTAAAATAAAAAGATTTTAATAATTTAAAATATTCGGTGAACCCAGAGTAGGGACTGTGGAGTATCATACCCATGGCTCTATTTGTCATTTCTGAGCTTCGTTTGGCTGGTCTGAACCTTCAGCCTGCTTTGGTACTTTATATAGCTGAATCATTGGAGCATTGAATCCAATACATTTATCTACACAAAGATAGGAATTAACATTTTTACACATTTGTCATGTTTCTTCAGAAGTAATTCCAGGATATACCATTAAACACAGAGGCATATATTAAATATAGTTGTCTACTCTTTACTCTTTATAGACATGCAAATGCTTTCAAAGGATTATTCCCATTTTGGCTATGTGTAGTAACTTCACTTAGTTGAATTACATAATCCAAAACTATGTTGCTTATAGGTTACATATTGAAATCACAAAGCATTTTGTGACAGACCTAAGAACATACAAAGCGGTACTCATAAAACCATTTATTGACATTTGTTTCTTTGTAGCTATCACCCCTCCCCACCCTACCAAACAAAAGAACTGCTTTTTGGTTAAAATGTATATGAAAGATAAATAAAATACTTGCTAATATAACATGATTTACTGAATTCTAATTCTTATTACACTACTACTTAACTATCAGAATGTTAAAATGAATTAAAACGTTTAAATGGAATATTTTGTATGAATTTTTGAATAAACTTGGGAACAAAAAAATGTTAATGAAACGTAAATAATCACAGGGAAGATGTGTTATTTTACACTGGAAAACATTTACAAAAATTGCATTAAAGTAACCTCTTCCTGCATTGATGGCATTACTTGAGGCAAATAAGGTGAAGCTTCTGCCCATCCAGACTCTTTCGTCCTGATGGGGACCAAGACAATTTAGTTGCATTGACTTTCTATTGTAGAGCTTTGGAACCAAGGGAAGGATCCAAACATAGCTTCATTTCATCCAATGAGAAGAGCCGCTTAGTGCTAAACTATGATTCGTCCATTTCTCTTTGCTTTCATCCAATCGTTAGGCCATTTTAACAGCCAATCAGCGGCCTAGATATTCACCAATCAGAGTACAGGGCCCTAGCACGGCCTTTGTGTCGAGGGATGTCAACGCGTCGGCGAAAGCTTCGACCAATAGAAAAAGTCGTTGGTGTATGCAAATGAAGGTTCTATGACGCAGAGACGCAGCGTGAAGCGTGGGTATAAAAGCGGAAGCATCGGGGGGGTTTGGAGCAAAGCGGTTTGGTTATTCGTTGGGTTGGTCCGTGCACTTAGCTCCTGGGCTGCGGCTCTTCCTTGGGCGGCGGGAGCGGCGTCACGGACTGAGAAGCGGCCTAAGACTTCGGCGTTGAGTGAGTGTCCGTGGGTTTGCCGGTGAGTTGGGGCCGCGGCAGCCGTTAGGGCCGCGGGTCGCGGCCGTTGGGGGCCGAGTGCGGGCTGCCCGGGCGGCTGGCATCGGGCGTGGGGTTGAGAGGTTTTCCCCGGGGACTTCGTTCCGGGAATCGCGTCTCTTCCCGTCTCTGACGCTGGCTGTTCAGAGGTCTCGGCGTCGGCTTCCGGGCAGCGCGGCCTCCGCCCGTCGAGGAGGGGAAATGACTCCTCCCCGCGCTCCCCCTCCCGGGGGAGGCGGCTGCTCCTCGCGGCCTGAGTCATTAGGGGTGAGGCGGCGGCGGCGGGGCGGCCTCGGCCATCTGCCGCCGCGAGGTGGGGTGCGAAGAGGCGGGAGGGCAGGGGCGCCGCGCAGAGCCTGTCCGTCCCCCTCGCCCCCACCCCCTGGCGAGCGGCGCGGGAGTCACGGGTGTCTTCTTTAGGTGAAAGAAAATGGCCCGAACCAAGCAGACTGCTCGCAAATCCACGGGTGGGAAAGCGCCCCGCAAACAGCTGGCCACTAAAGCTGCCAGGAAAAGCGCCCCCTCTACCGGCGGGGTGAAGAAGCCCCATCGCTACAGGTAGGCTGGGCAGAGGGAGACAATGACGCCGCGGCGCCCGGCGGTGCGGGAGGGGTTGCTGGTGGGGTGCCTGGTGCGGTGCCGGCGCTGTCAGTTCACGGCTTTGCGTCTCCATCCTCCTTGCCCAGGCCCGGGACCGTCGCGCTTCGAGAAATCCGTCGTTACCAGAAATCGACCGAGCTTCTGATCCGGAAGCTGCCTTTCCAGAGGTTGGTGAGGGAGATCGCCCAGGATTTCAAAACCGACCTGAGGTTTCAGAGTGCAGCCATCGGTGCGCTGCAGGTGAGACGAGGGCCGCGGCGGGGGCGGGGGCTCGAGGCTGGTTTCTCGGTTTCCGCAGAGTCTAATCGTGCGCTCTTGTCCTCGGCAGGAGGCTAGCGAGGCGTACCTGGTGGGTTTGTTTGAAGATACTAACCTGTGTGCCATCCACGCCAAGAGAGTCACCATCATGCCCAAAGACATCCAGTTGGCTCGCCGGATACGGGGAGAGAGAGCTTAAGGGAAGGCAGTTTTTACGGTGTTTTGTAGTAAATTCTGTAAAATACTTTGGTTTAATTTGTGACTTTTTTTGTAAGAAATTGTTTATAATATGTTGCATTTGTACTTAAGTCATTCCATCTTTCACTCAGGATGAATGCGAAAAGTGACTGTTCACAGACCTCAGTGATGTGAGCACTGTTGCTCAGGAGTGACAAGTTGCTAATATGCAGAAGGGATGGGTGATATTTCTTGCTTCTCATGATGCATGTTTTCTGTATGTTAATGACTTGTTGGGTAGTTATTAAGGTACTAGAATGATAAATGTGTACAGGGTCCTTTTGCAATAAAACTGGTTATGACTTGATCCAAGTGTTTAACAATTGGGGCTGTTAAGTCTGACCATGCATCACTGTGATAGAATGTGGGCTTTTTCAAGGGTGAAGATACAAGTCTTAACCACAGTGTAATAACTTACAGTTTCCTAAAAAGAAAAAAAAAGTAAACCTGGCAGCTATAGAATACACTATGTGCATTTATAATAGCTATTTTATATATTGTAGTGTCAACATTTTTAAATTAAATGTTTTACATTCACATGTGGGGAGTCTTGTCATTAAGGTGTGTGTAATTTAGGGTCCAGTTGGTGTTCTAACTAGACTGCACTTGTTTTCATAGTAGTAAAATGCTTTGCAAATAACACCTTGCATAAGTCCTCATTCTACCACATGTGAACTAACCCTCTAGCTGATAATGCAAACACTATCGGGGGATTTTATTTATAAGGGCTCTAGAATACAAGTTATCACACCAGCATCATCTGTTACTAATATTCTGACTAGTTATGGTTAGTGCAGCTTTTCTTTGTGTTGTGGTTGGTTTCATAACTAGGTTGAGTTCCTCTACCAAGAGGAGACAAGACCCGAGTTCTTTTCCTTGTGGAGTTTGTATTATAACCCTTAGCGTAACCTTGCTGTGGGGTGGGAGGGGCTCTTAGCTCCAGCTTGTTGCATCGCGGCCAGTTAAGATGGCGGCCAGTTAGCTTACATCTGGTATATGGTCCTGGGGAAATCACTTTATAGAGCTGGTCTTCCAAGTGGTTTTTAAAATTTATCCTTCTATTGAAGTTTTTAGGTCAATTATGTATGTTGACTAAATTTACAAATAAACTTGTTTATCCAACTAAGTGTCAAAAACCTAAATTGAATGTACAAAAAACATCCATTATCTAGGTTCTTTGTATCCTAAAGTTTGAGCTTAGCTTACTTGGATTTTGCTTAGACAAAGGAACCTTTTAGTTACAGAAATAACTCCAGAAACATGTAAAGACCCTCTGCTCTAACAATGCCAGGATTGCAATATTTACAGTGTCACTGCTTCCCTCCATATTGTCAAGGAATTAAAAGCACATTCACTGCCCGTGCGAGGTAGGCCAAGGGAAGTAAATTTCTTTAAAATGCTAGGGCTCAAATTTGGGATCTGTTCCATGAACCTCTGGGTGGACTGTTCATCTCTATTCGTTATTAACAATTCCAGAGGTACAAAGCTTACTAGTCCAAGACATCTTTTCCATATGAAAGATCTTTGACATTGAAGGCCAGCAATAAAGCATAGCCTATCAATGTTGGCAAGACAGCGCAAGTGCCACCAGAAGCTGTAGCAAGACATTTATGCCCTAATGGCCATTTTTAGTAAGAATTAGTTTCAAATTTAAGGGGTTTGTCGGGAGAGAGAAACCAGAATAGGCTTGGAGGTCTAGTTAATGAGCCTTACATGTTGTCAAAGGTGGAGTTCACTGTAGCAAACGGGTTTTCTAAAGGTTTGTAACCAGCTCTGGAACAACTACCAATATAATCCCCTCACGTTGTGCATCTGAAAGATGTCCAAGCCCCAGCCGCTGGCATGTGCTGTGCTCTGGCGTGGAGCAGTGTCCAACAAGTAGAAACAGCTGTGGTGGTGATCAGCTTGCGTTACCTGCGGTGACCCCAGTGGATGACAGTTGAACCTTCACACACACGCCCACCCCCCACCCCCGTCTGCATCATGATGCAGGAGGCTCCTGGGTTTTATTGCGTGGCGTGGAGTCTGCTTAAACTGCCACTGGCACGCCATACTTTATTTGAGCACCTTAACCAGAAGGCAAAACTATTTTTTGGTTCTAGGAAGCTGGTCCCATAGGTACCCTGGGTATAGCGATGGAACAGTCTATAAGGAGAAAAGCAAAAGTTGGAACTGATGAAGGTATCCTGTGCCCTTGATGAACAGACAAAAATAAAAGTTTTTGAAGTTGAGACTTGTTAATGGTCTTCATTTGGATGAAATCTGTTTCACAAGTTTCCTAGAAAGCCTTGCCTTTGGGGGGTGAGGGGAGGGCCGTCAGTAATGAGACAGGCAGACCCCTTATCCTTAAAGGGATATATATCACCGTTTGCTCAGGACTGGCCATTTATGCTTGTTGAACCTGCATATTAACTGCCTCTCTTGCTGACTGGTGTGGGTCACAGGTTCGACTCCCAGTCAGGGCACATGCCTGGATTGCAGGTTTGATCCCCAGTAGGGGGCTTGCAGGAGGCAGCTGATTAATGATTTGCTTTCATCATTGATGTTTCTATCTCTCCTCTGAAATAAATAAAAACATACTTTAAGTATATGGAGGCAGGCATGCACTTCAAACCCAGCTTATTTCCTGAGATCTGTCCTTATACAAAAGATTCATTGTGTCCCCATTACACATCAAAGGGAGGAACACCAAGGAGAGGCCAACCAGGACCAGCTCATGCCCCATGGCCAGGCCCCTACCCCTTGCTTTGCCCCCAGCCAGGACCTCTGCTGCTGCCTGACCAGTGTCAGTGAGGAGACCACTGTCAGTTGGGGCAAGCTGAGGAATGACTGAGGCTGGGGCAGGTGGCCTTTGCTGAGGGCCGTGTGAGGGACTGCACATGTCCCCATGGAGGTGGTGCCGGGGCTCCACTACCCCTCCTCCTCTTCCCACCCCCTGTTGGACATACGGGGCCCCAGGACCTTTCCCATAAGCTCCTCACCTCCCAGCACTGAGCCAAGACTTAGCAGAGGGGACAGGATGGGGTTGGGTCCAAGGCCCAGGCATCACGAGCCTGTAGTCCTACTGCAGCTCACTGGCCTCTCCCCACACCCTGCCTTTGGCCAGACTCAGTCCTGCCCACCCCCGGCGGCCTGCAGCCCCCTGCCAGCTGCAGTGCCCAGTGTGAGCTGCAGGAAGAGATGGCCGTGGCCCTGAGCTGTCAGGGTGGTCCTCAGCCTAGAGGGCAGGAACTTAAGGGACATGGGGCAGCAAATAAAGACATGGCTGCAGCTGAGCCCTCTCACAGGGGCGCCTGAGGTCAGGGGAGGGTGAGAAGCTCGGTGCTCCGAAGGCAAGGTCTCAATCTTGCCTGCCTGCCTCTGGCGTCGGGCCTGACACCTGGCAGAGGCTCCAGACGTGCTTGCTGACCAACCCGAATGGTCCTGGCAGCCCCACAGCCCAGCTGGCTGGATCTGCTCCTGGCACATGTGGCAAAGAACCGGGCCAGTTCCCAAGCGCCTTTGGTCACTGGCCTGGCTTTCCGATTGGGACCCTTCCATGTAGGAAGTGGGGCTCCAGGGGTCTGGGAGAGCAGCTGTGCCTCCGCCCCTCACTAAGAGGCTGAGCTGTAGGTACTCACGGGCACAGGGTGGTAGCTGAGAATGGGCTCAGGGGCAGACAGGCCCAGGTTCAAGGCCCAGCTGTCCCACTGGGATGCGTTCCTTCACACATCTGTGCTGCTTTTCCTCATCTTTAAAATAGGAATAAAAACTACCTACCCAATAGGCTTGTAAGGATTTAAAGAAATAATCTGTGCAAATGCTGGTGATTTTTAAAATATTTGACAACAGAAGTCAAGGGCACTGACCAATCAGTCCACAACCAGCACTGCCCTGCAGGCTGTGTACCAGCCCTGATACCAGGGCTGCCACAAGGTCCAGATGAGTATTATCCAGACCTCAGGAGCTGTTATCAATATTACAGAAAGACCGAGCGGGCCAACTCATTAGATAGGTTAATGCTGTGGAACAATTACAAACAGAACCTCCCAGAACGGGTGAGAGGGTGGGCCATCTTCCGAGGGCGAACACTTTCAGAGACCTGTGGGTAGATATTTGCTTGTGAGATGTTGCCTCAAGTCCCATCAGTGAACCAGGCTGTGATTGCAATGGAGAAGCCAGAGCTGCATGGCGCGTGCAGACCATCACATAAAAAAGAACGAGCGAGTCCAGCAGGGAGGGCCCAAGGGCTAAGAACTGGCACAGAGACCTGGCCAGTGTGGCTCAGTTGGTTGGGCATCATCCTGTGCACCAGAAGGCTGGGGCTCCATTCCCAGTAGCGGGTGTGCTGGAGGCAGCTGATCTTTCCTCCGTGCCAGCCTTGGTCTCAGGGGCCAGGCTGTGTCTGCCTCCTGGCCAGAGCGTGAGCGCCCGGGGCTTTTACCTGTCTGGCCAGTTGCGCGCAGGAGAGTCCACTAATGTCTGTTGCATGATTTGCTCTCAAATCAATGTTTCTCTCTCTCTCCCTCTCCCTTCTTCTCTCTCTAAAAATCAATAAAAACCTTTTGGGGGAAAAAAGAATTGGGTGCAGACACAGACATAGACTCCGGGAGAGAAGAGACGCCGCTGAAGCACCTGTCCTCCATGGTGGGCAGGTCTCGCCATGGCCTGGACAAAGGTGCCTTGGTGACTCTAGGCCTGCCAAGGGTTCCAGGGCCCAACTGGCAGGGGTGGCATTCCCACCCCTGGAAAGTATGGCCCTGTGGTGGATATTACTGGGGCTTCTATCTGGATGCCTCAGTCCTGTGTGACAGCCGGCTCTGACTTGCGGATGCAAGGGAGAAGACAGGCTGTGGGGTGCAGTGTTCCCATTAAAGTTCCATCCCCTCCCAATCTTGTAACATCAGGCCAGGAAATGGGAGGGAGGGTCAAAGGTTAAGGCAGACTTCTCAACAAATTTCACAAAACATGCTAGATGGGATTAAAAAACTGAGTAGGGCCCTAGCCGGTTTGGCTCAGTGGATAAGAGCGTCAGCCTGCGGACTGAAGGGTCCCAGGTTCGATTCCGGCCAATGGCACATGCCCAGGTTGCAGGTTCGATCCCCAGTAGGGGGCATGCAGGATGCAGCTGATCAATGATTCTCTTTCATAATTGATGTTTCTATCTCTCTCTCCCTCTCCCTTCCTCTCTGAAATCAATAAAGAAATATATTTAAAAACAAACTGAGTAGCTCAGCCAGTGTGGCTCAGTGGTTGAGCATCGACCTAGGAACCAGGAGGTCTGGGTTCGATTCCCAGTCAGGGCACAGGCCCGGGTTGCGGGCTTGATCCCCAGTAGGGGGCGAGCAGGAGGCAGCCGATCAATGATTCTTGCTCATCGTTGATGATTCTATCTCTCCCTCTCCCTTCCTCTCTGAAATCAATAAAAACATATTTAAAAACAACAACAACTAAGCAGAGTCAGATCTTTGAGCATTAGCTCCCTTGTCTCTGGGTGTGGGCTGCTTCCTGGAAAAAACACACACACAAAAAAAACCTTAAAAAACAAACAACAAAAGCCCAAACCAAAAATGAGTGTGAACACAAATAAAATCAATGCTTCAGAGTCCATCTTGAGCAAATGGAAGCGTTACCCTCTTAGGTCCCATCCAGGTTCTCCAAGAACAACTACAACAGTAAAAAGATGAGGATGAGGCACGCGGACGAGTTCTCTTTTGTTGTTCATCCTCACCCGAGGATGTATTTCCCATTGATTTTTAGAGAGAATGGAAGGGAGGGGGAGAGACAGAGAGAAGCATTGCTGAGAGACACATCAATTGGTTGCCTCCTGCACCTGTCCCAGCCCTTCAGTCCACTTAGCAAAACCGGGGAGGGCACGTGGATGTGTTTCCAATCAAAATGAAACGATGGAAATAAAAAACAAGTGTGCGGGCTTCGCAGCGGTCAGGATTCCTCCTCCCTCTCCTTACTCAGAAAGCTCTTTCCTCCTCGATTCCCAGTAGGGGGTGAGCTGGAGGCAGCTGATCTTTCCTCAGTGCCAGCCTTGGTCTCAGGGGCCAGGCTGTGTCTGCCTTCCGGCCAGAGCGTGAGCGCCCCAGGCTTTTATCTGTCTGGCCAGTTGCACGCAGGAGAGTCCACTAATGTCTGTTGCATTAATGGGTGACATAATAATAGCGAACACTTCCTCTGTGTTTACTAAGTGCTAGTGCTGGGCCGGGCACTCAATCAAGATGATCTCATTAGTTCCTTTTGTAACAATCTGTTAACGAGGCCTCTCTAGCCTCCTTTTACAGAGGAGAGACCGAGGCTCAGAGAAGCCCAGGCACCTGCCCGAGATCACACAGTGGCAAGGGAAGAGATCTGGGCTCAGGACGGTTGGACGTCAAGGCTGAGACGGGTAAAGGATTCCTGGAGAAGGAGGGTGTTGCTTCACACATCGCTGCCCCAACAGAGCGGCGCCTCCTTGGGGAGACATGGCTTGTGGGTTGAAATTCATTTCAACTTGCCCCAAGACCTGCTACACACACCATTCAGTTCACCCGTTTAAAGTGTACAAACCCTTGCCCTGGCTGGTTTGGCTCAGTGGAGAGCGCACACAGGCCTGCGGACTGAAGGGTCCCAGGTTTGATTCTGGTCAAGGGCACAGGCCCAGGTTGCGGGCTGGATCCTCAGTAGGGGGTGTGCAGGAGGCAGCTGATCCATGATTCTCTCTCATCATTGATGTTTCTATCTCTCCCTTCCTCTCTGAAAGCAATAAAAATGTTTTTCAAAAAAGTGTACAATTGCGTGGTTTTAGTATATTTACAGATACCTACAACCATCACCACAGTCAATCTTAGGGCATTTGGCTCAAAGAGAACTCAGTACCCCTCGCTATCACCCTCTCACCCCGCCACCCCCATGTCCCTGCGCCCTCAGCAACCCCTGCTCGGGGCCAGCAGCCCGACCTACCTTAGCAGCGGTGGTCGGTCCTTCCAGGAGGGCGGGGCCCACTGCTGTCCGTGCCGCCCCCCCGCCTCAGCCCTGCACAGCCCGGAGCTGTGCCTGCGTGTCCACCCCGGGAAAGGAGCCTGTGGACAGCCACTCCCTGGTCACCACCAAGCTCGGCTTTCTCGCTATTTACACGGAGGGCCAGGCCACGCGCTTGGAGACCCGTGACCAGGGGCTGGTGACCTCGCACAGCTGCAGGACTTCAGGACCTAGTCTAGGAGGTCCCTTTGGGACCCCAGGTCGGCCGGGTCGCAGCGGGGTC